GATTTGGGGGTCCGGGGGGGTTCTCGGGGGTCCCGGTGCCGATTTCAGGGGTCCCGGTGCCGATTTTGGGGTTCCCGGTGCCGATTTTTGGGACCCCTCCCCAGCCATGGCGCAGCGCGACGTGCCCGGCTTCGCCATCGGCGGCCTGAGCGGCGGCGAGGCCAAGGCGCGCTTCTGGCGCGCGGTGAAGCTCAGCACCGAGCACCTGCCCCGAGACAAACCCCGCTACCTGATGGGCGTGGGGTGAGTCCGGGGCTCCCCAAAATCCCCCTCCCCAACCGTGGGGAGACCCCCGAAATCACCCCCAAATTCGCCTCCCCTCAGCTACGCCACCGACCTGGTGGTCTGCGTCGCGCTGGGCTGCGACATGTTCGACTGCGTCTTCCCCACCCGCACCGCGGTAAGGGGGGGGTGTGGGGGGGATTTGGGGGGGTTTGAGGGGTTTGGGGACCCCTCCCCAATATTGGGGAGACCCCCATAACCCCCCCCCCCAACCCCACGGCAGCGTTTCGGTTCCGCCCTGGTGCCCTGGGGGTCGCTGCAGCTGAAAAGTCAAAAATTCGCCAAAGATTTCCGGCCCATCGACGCCGACTGCGACTGCCCCGCGTGCCAGAGGTGGGTGGGGTGGGGAGGGGTCTCCTGGGGGAGACCCCCCCCAAAATTCCTCATTTTTCCCCCCAAAATCTGCAGGTATTCCCGGGCGTACCTGCACGTGCTGCTGCGCTGCAACACGGCGGCGCTGCACCTGCTCACCATGCACAACGTCGCCTACCAGGTGGGCCGGGGGATTTTGGGGGGCTCTGTGGGATTTTGGGGAGGGGTCTCGGGGGTGCCCCCAACCCCTCTGACCCCCGTCTCCCCACCCCAGATGAAGCTGATGGGCTCCATCCGGGACAGCATCCTGCGGCAGCGCTTCCCCGAGTTCGTGCGGGACTTCATGGCCACCATGTACGGGGGGCGGGGGGGACCCCCCGCGTGGGCTCGGGAGGCTCTGGAGTCGGTGGGGATCACCCTGGAT